CAAAGACAGACTAACACGGCTGTTACTCTGAAACTTTGGGGAATGTTACTTTTCTGCTGTTACCCAACTGCTTTCCTTCCGAGGGAGCGGGGGTGGACGTGAAGTTGAAAATGCCCATTAGAAGAGAAGGGTGGGGAGATGGTAAGAATTGTGCCAGGATTTAGAGCCAGTTAAAATGACCTCTTGCATAGGTGCCTGGAGGCTCCACTCAGGATCAAGCCCCATTGTGCTGGGTGCTGTAGGAATGCATAGTAAGAGATGGTCCTCGCCCCAGAGAGCTTGTGGTCTAAATTAAGACAATGCAACAAGTGGGTGTGACAGAGAACTGGGGAGGTAAGGGAGTGTGCTGGCAGCATGGTATTCCACAGATCAGCTACAAGCACTTTTTGTAGGCGTTGAGTCTGTTTTATCCATCCATGGAGTCTCTGCAGGTAGTGCGGCCAGTGCTAAGGGGCTGAGAGAATTTCTGGCTCCCACCCATTTTGGCAATCAGAATCCTTCCCCCCTCCACCTCAACACACACACAGAGTACATTTTGTGTCTTTCCCTAAAAACAATCTTAGTTTGAGAGAAGTGGGGTTGGAGGTAGCATTCTCTAGTAGTTAAAGTAGGGGCCTGGAAGTTAAGGTTTCTAGGTTGGTTATTTTACTACTGCCACTCGGTGTGACCTTTGGCTTGTCACTTCTTCACTGTGTGCCTCAGTTGCCCCATTTCTAAATCAGGAGTAACAATACTGACCAGCCTGGCTAGGGCAAATTCATGTTTGTGCAGGACTTTCAGATATTCTGAGTGAGGCTGTAAGCGCAGAACAGCGCTTAATTTGTGCCAGGGCTGAGCCCCAGCACCTCTAGGCTTAGCAGTTCTGGGTTGCTGCATCAATTATGAATGTAAAAGAATTGCTTGAGCCCCAGCACCTAATTGCTTGAGTCCAGAACCTCTCTCATTACAAATTAAGCACTGATGCACAGTATTCAATTTCCATAATAATCAGCCTTGCTCCAAAACGACCTCTGACCTCCAGTGACTCTTCTGGTTTCTGTAATTCTTCAAGGCAGAGGTGGGGTTGGGAGAACATGCTGGATCTGGGGGTCTGTGACCCCTCTACAGCCATTTTCCTTAGCGGTTGGGTTTTGTGAAACATTTTTTCCATGATTTAACCCATTGTTTCAAAAGGGAAACTTAATTCGAGACACACAATTTACAGTGGGCTCTGACCGCACTGACTAATAATCCTCCCCTTTGGGGTAGATGGTTAAATATCATTATCCCTATTTCACAGATGGGGAAATTAACCTTTGTGACTCAAGTAGTCTGCCCAAAGCTCTGCAGCCAATCAGTGGCAGAGCTGGGATTAGAACTCATGAGTTCCTGTCCCTGTGGCCGGTGCTCCAAACCCTGCTGCCTGTGTGTGTTTCAACCTGACATTCATCAATGCCAGAGCACGGTGCTTTGGTTACACTCAGTCCAGAGGAGTGTATAACTTAAGGACCTGACCCGGTGGGTGCTGAGCCCCTTTGGGCCCCGCTGGCTTCTCTAGGGTGCTGAGCATCCCTGGCACTCACTGGACTGGTCCCTACATTCTCGGTTCTACCTCCTGGCTCTGAACTGTTTTTTCCAGCTCCCTCTCTGCTGGCGACTGGCTCTTCTCAGTATAGTGCTGTATAAAACACATGCCCGAGCCAGTGACCTGCCTCCTGAGACCCCCAAGGAGCTGCTACAGGAGAAGCTGCTGCTGGCTCCCAAGGTCTCCGGCTTCCCCCAGGAGCATCCCGGCTGCTGTTAGGGTTCAAGGAGCGGTGCTGTCCTGAGTTGGGGGCTAGGGAGTGTCCAGGGCTCACTCAGCTCCCACCCTACAGTCTGATTTATGTGAAATCTTCCCCCACTCAGTTGCTGCTGCTAACTGTCCCTGAAGATTGGCGGACTGTGAAACCCGCCGCTCAGCAGCTGATGGCTACACTCATACCAGAGCGGCTGGCCTACTGCCGAGAGCCCTGGGAGTCATGCATTTGCCATGTTCCCTGAAGCCCTCTCTCTCTCTGCTCCTTCCTTCCTTCCTTCCTCTGTTGACCTAGGGACTAATCAAGCCCTGTCCTGACATTTGCTTCATCCTGCCCCTCTCTCAGGGTGCCGGCTGGCTCAGCTGCCCTCCAGCGGCCTTCCCCCTCAGTGCCAGAGGCAGTGAGGTGCTAGGGCAGATGAAGTAGGTGGAGTGCGAGCTGGCTGGAGTCCCATAGGCTTGGGGCTGGCCCTGCTGATGCTAGAGATGGCCAGATACAGATTTTGGGGTGGATCCAAATGTTGCAGCTCTGGGTCATTTGTGCCCTGCCCCCAGGTTTCCTTCCCATCCTGTGTGCCCCTGTGATTGCTATGTTCTGGGAGCAGGCAGACTGGTGGTGCCATGCCCCTTACATGGGGGGGCCGGGGAGAGGTGATGGGGGAGCCCACTCGTACCACAGGGGAGGTGTGAGCTTGGGAGCTGAGCCCGCTCTGCAGGGAGCCAGTGTTCAATGCTGAGATAACTGGTGCCAAGTCGCTCACTTCCCTACACCTCCCGTGTGTGTGTGTCTGGATTGTCGAGGGCCTACCTGTAAGCTCCTGCCCTGTTACGGGCCGGGACAGGAGCACTTGCTGCTGCCCCTACACAAACTCGTTCAAATTCCCTCTCTCTAAGCAGACCTTGTGCACGAGTTTAGCGCTCACGCCAGCGAGGATCTGACAGCGCTGGCTGGAGATGTACAGCACTTCCCCGCGCACACGCAAGCTGCCCCTCCGGTCCAGCGTGCTCCGTGCTTCGAGCCTCCCGCCCTACCCCGACAACATCACTGCCCGTGCACCTCAGTCCTGCCTTGCATCCCCCCCTGCTGTTCCAGCCCTGAGCCCAGCTAAGTAGCAGGTGCTGAACTGTGCCGGGGTATCGTACTGTGCACAAACGAGAAACCTTTCCCTGGATCTCACTCCTCGCCGAGCAGTGAACTTGCGACTTGGGGGAGCTGTATGCGCTATGTCACATCCTGGCGCATCAGTGGCTCTCAGCCTTCCCAGACTGCTGTACCCCTTTCAGGAGCCTGATTTGTCTTGTGTACCCCAAGCTTCACCTCACTTAAAAACGACTTGTTTACAAAATCAGACATGAGAAAGTAAAAATGTCCCAGCACGCTAGTACTGAAATATCGCTGACGTTCTCATTTTGTCTGTATGAAATTTTAGTTTGTGCTGACTTCGTTAGTGCTTTTTATGCAGCCTGTTGTAACACTAGGCAAATATCTAGATGAGTTGATGTACCCCCTGGAAGACCCCTCTGTACCCCCAGGGGTACACGTGCCCCTGGTTGAGAACCACTGCTCTACGTGAAATCCCAAGTCACCCCTTCCTCGCCTGCTGGGTGTGTTTTCTGATGACCCTGCGGCTTGCAGTAGAGTTTCCCTGTTGAATTATTGTCTGTTGTTTTCCATGGTGAGTGCTGCTAAGAGATCGAGCCTTGTCCAGCCTAGCTGGTAGTTGCAGGCATTGCTCTGACAGGTGATGTGTGAAGAGAGGCGCTGGAGACGGGGGCAGGCAGCTGGCAGTGATGAGAGCTGCTGATCTGTCCGTCCATGGCAGATGGTGCCCACGCAGCCCTGCTCTGCCAGGGTGTTAGTCCTGGCAGCCTCTGTGCAGGGGGATGGCAAGTGCTGATGATCAGACAGTCCCTGGGTGAAAGGGAAAGTGATTCCCCCTGTTCCCCCCCCAGCCCCTGCATGCTTTTCCCCTCGTACCTAGACGCAGCAGGCGTGGAGTTGTGCTGGAGCTCTGCCAGCTGGAGGAGAAGGGTTTATAAGAGGCCGTGATCAGGATCTCGGCCTTGTGCCGGGTGCTGCGCCAACAGGTGGATACAGCCCCCGCACTAGAGAGGACACCCCTGGCTGATGAAATGGGGAAGGAGGGAGAGAGAGGGCCGCACTCAGATACCCTGCTGCATAGATATTAACCACAGCCCAGCCATCAAACAGGGGCCGATCGCTTGCATGCATCCTGGCAGTGGCCTGTCTGGCTCGGGGCTGGGAAGCAGGAGGAGAGGTTGGTGGGCTGATGGAGCAGTTCAGGGAGGCTGTGCTAGGGGTGGGGGTGGGGGTAGAGATTTTGTGAGGAGCAGACAGGCGGATGGTCCCACCAGCTGGGTGGAAGAGGTGATGGGGAGCGAGAAGTTGAGCTGTGAAGGGCCAACGCTGAGAAGCTTGGACTCGAAGCCCAAGAAGAGGGGGAGCTGGTGGAGGGCTCCAGAGAGGAGGCATGTGGCCAGTGTGACTGGCAGGGAAGATGGCCCTCGCCGTGTTATGGATGGATTGGGGGTGGGGAAGGTACGTGGTGCGGCCTGGGCAAGAGACAGAAGGAACAGGACGGAGCTGAGAAATGCTGCGGGGGGGAGATGTGGAGAGCTGGAGTGTGTGGGGGCCAAGCGAGCAGTCTCTGCTGACTCCTGGGGGGGCGCTGGTTGCTGGAGAGGACGATGGTTCGCTCAGCATGCAGTGACAGAGAACAGGGGCTGTGGAGAGGCCTTGGGAGGAAAGGTTGGGGGCTGAGTTTTGGCCACGTTGTCCAAGCTGATGGTGACACGGGCTGAGATGCCGGATTGGGCCAAGGGAGACGGGAGGATCAGAGCCTTTAGAAATAGGAGAGCCCTCTGCTCTGTCATCCCATGTGGCCCATCTCCCCAGGGGCCAGTGTGCGGGGCTTGTTCCCTCCAGATCCCTCCACAGGGCTCTGTTGTGTTAAGTGTCCCAAGCCATGGGGGCTCCCGGAGTGGCGTAGATATTTGGGACAGCCTCCTCCATTCCTGTGAGGTGGGGCTGCTGGCATGGGTCTTCCAAGAGAGGTGCCTGGGGGAAGGTTGCTCAGAACTTGCTTGTGGGCTGACAGACCCGCCCTCCCTCCCGGGGGCATGCAAGTGTGCATGCTGGCACGCCGGCCGAACGGGATTTGTCTGATCTCTGACTCCTTTTCCCCTTCTCTTCCCACCGCAGGGGAGTCCGGTCCAGCTGAATGGTGTGACCCTGGAGTCTGAACACCCGCAGTCCGTGAGCCAGCCCCAGCCTGCCTTCCAGATCCAGCCCGTGACCCCGGACCCTGCCCCCAGCCAGCCCAGGGAGACGTGGGGTGGGAAGTATGAGTTCCTGCTCTCCTGCGTTGGGTATTGTGTGGGGCTGGGCAACGTCTGGCGCTTCCCCTATCTCTGCTACCGCAATGGAGGAGGTGAGTCCCTGCAGGCCTCTTTGCTGTTGTCTGTCTGCCTTGGGGTCACATGATCACACCCCTCTTACTTTGGAACTAATGCCTGGATTCATCAGGTGCTGGGAAGCTGGTGGTGAGCAGAGACTGTATCTGCCGAGTCCCAGACGAAAGGAGTGCGCTCCGAACAGATGGTGCTGTTTGCATGGAGCAGTGTTTGTCAAATCACCAGCACTTTTACAGGGCCACTTGCGGGTGGTGGCATGGCCTAGCGGGTCGGGCTCTGACTGAGTCAGGACACCTGCGTTCTGTCCCCACCGCTGCTCCTCAGAGGTGCTGAGCGGTTATCATGTCTCCCCTCAGTCTTCTCTTCTCCAGACTAAACAAACCCAGTTTTTCAATCTTCCCTCCTAGGTCATGTTTTCTAGACCTTGAATCATTTTTATTGTTCCTCTCTGGCCTTTCTCCAATTTGTCCACATCTTTCCTGAAATGCGGCGCCCAGAACTGGACACAATACTCTGGTTGAGTCTTAATCAGCGCAGAGTAGAGTGGAAGAATTACTTCTCGTGTCTTGCTTACAACACTCTTGCTAATATATCCCAGATGGATGTTTGCCTTTGTTTTGTTTTTTTGGTTTGTTTTTTTTGGCAACAGCATTACACTGTTGACTCATATTTAGCTTGTGGTCCACTATGACCCCCAGATCCCTTTCCGCAGTACTCCTTCCTAGGCAGTCATTTCCCATTTGGTATGTATGCAACTGATGGGTCCTTCCTCAGTGGAGTACTTTGCATTTGTCCTTATTGAATTTCATCCTATTTACTTCAGACCATTTCTCCAGTTTGTCAAGATCATTTTGAATTTTAATCCTATCCTCCAAAGCACTTGCAACCCCTCCCCGCTTGGTATTGTCCACAGACTTTATAAGTGCACTCTCTGTGCCATTATCTAAATCATTGATGAAGATACTGAACAGAACCAGACCCAGAACTGATCCCTGTGGGACCCCACTCATTATGCTCTTCCAGCATTACTGTGAACCATTGATAACTACTCTCTGGGAATGGTTTTCCAGCCAGTTATGCACCCACCTTCTAGTAGCTCCATCTAGGTTGTATTTCTCTAGTTTGTTTATGAAGAGGTCATGCGAGACAGTATCAAAAGCCCTTATTATATTTTATTGGCCTGGGCAGGCTGTAAAGGAAGGAGTCTGGCTTACTCCTGGCAGACTATCCATACGTTTTCAGAAAGTGATGTTTTGGGGACTTGGTAACTAACTTTATGAACTGGGGCTATCTCGTTGCAGCCCTAAATAGATCCCCAAATCTGGAGAGTCTTGCATGGCGGCTTTGAAATGAAATGTTACCACTGTGCTAGTCAAGGCTGCTGGGCCTTGAGTCAGGCCTCTGAGCTCAACTCTGGCTCTTGAATGAGCAGATCTGTGCAAGAGCAACACATCTGAGGTACTGCGAGACACATGCCCCAGAGATGTTACCCCAGGGCAGCCCTGTTGAGCTGGAATCTTTCAGCTATTTCCAAGCAGTGAGGTTTTTGCTTCATGGGGGGCACAGTTAATTTGTTCTTGCTGCCGTTGTGGCACGTACTGACCAACCTGGAAAGGAGTACTTGTGGCACCTTAGAGACTAACCAATTTATTTGAGCATGAGCTTTCGTGAGCTACAGCTCACTTCATCAGATGCATACCGTGGAAACTGCAGCAGACGGTATGCATCTGATGAAGTGAGCTGTAGCTCACGAAAGCTCATGCTCAAATAAATTGGTTAGTCTCTAAGGTGCCACAAGTACAGGATCAGGTCTGATCAAGCTTTCCTTGGGCACCTGAGAGCTGCAGGTTTCGGCTAGCCGAGCAGCTCCTGAGTGAGCGCTTGTCTACTGAAATGATCTAGGGAGTACATCGTTCAGGATGGACAGGCCCATTGCAAAGAGGGAAACCAAAACAATACAGAAGCGAGGATTTCACATCCCAGTATTGATAAGTGAGTTCTTGCCAGACAGGATGCTATCAAACTAAGTTTCCTTTTACATCTTCTAGGCACTTCCCTTTCTTTGGAGGTGATAGGCACTATCAGGACAGGATTGTATTCCTAACAGCCCAAGAGCACCTTCTTTCAATGTGACTAGTTTGGAATGTGAGGAGGTGACCGGTCGCTTCACAGCTTATGGCTGCCTCTGTTGCTTAGCCAAAGGCCTTAATCTAAGAACAGGGCCTCAGACTGTCACAGTAAGAGAAGGACCTTACACTGCAGACAGTGATTTTGATTCTTTCTTTTATACTTCTAACTAACCAAGTGATAAGAATACACCTTAATTCTTAAAGTACAGGCCTTTGCAGACAGGCCTGAATATCTATATCCTAACACGCCACCCCTTTTTTTTCTTTTTCTTTTGGGATCCTCCTGCCCAGGTATCCCTGGAAAAGCATAGGACATATGGCAACACACTTCCTGATAGGGCCAGGCATCAAGAGGGAAGGTGTCGATATTCCATTTGTCCCACTGCCCCTTGTGTAGTATAGTGCCCTGCACCTTCTCTCGTACAGGCATACCACACCTATTCCAATTAGTGTTCCAGACTTCCCATTAGAGTGGGCCCGAGAAGGTTGGGTCCGGGTTGTCTAGTACACTGTAGGGTTTGGAGGGCTTACTACATTACTTATAGGTTATCTTCATATGCAATGTAACACAAGTACAGTTAACAATACAAAATCCACAGCAACACCGAGTCCTGACCACTGCAGTATGATCCAACATCTGAGACACCCCCAAAACACTGCCTCTCCTCCTTCGACAGGGTCATGATCTTATGTGTCCAGTTGCTCGTAGTTCCAACAAGCTGCCCCTGCAGGTTTTGCTTGCTTTTGTCCATATCATAAGTCCACTGAATGTTCACAGAGAAATGGGTTATTGTCCAAACCAGCTTGACCACTTGGTATGGAATCAGGCAGTATGCCCTGGTTTGATTATTATTATAATATTATTATTATTATTTATTATTGGGGACGGGAAGCCAGGGGAGTGGTATGGCCAGAGCAACAGAAGGAAGGAGATTTCCACACCAGCATGAGCAGAGGAGGCCCAGTGAGAGTCGCAGAGGCCAGAGAGAGGAGCACAAGAGAGCTAAGAAAGGGAGTTAGCAATGAGAATGGAGAGGCCTGCCCATGGCACTCCCTCGCAGGGCAAGATGAAGACCCTATTGTGGAAGACACTGTGGCTTTATCCACCTCTGTGCAGATCGGAAGCACGTGAACATCTGTGCTGCTAATGCTGTCCCCGGAGAGGTGTTCTGTGTAGACTTTTAACCACACCTCTTGCGGCAGCATGAATGCCCTGTTCCTAGACTGAAGGGACCATTGGATAAAGGAGTTTGAGGTGCAAGTGGTGTTCTCGTCCATCCTCCCCGGAAGAAGGAAAAGGCCTGGGTAGAGACCGTTGAATCGTGGAAGTCAACGAATGGCTATGCAGGTGGTGTCAGAGAGAAGGCTTTGGATTCTTTGACCATGGGATGGTGTTCCAAGAAGGAGGAGTGCTCGGCAGAGACGGGATCCACCTAACGAAGAGAGGGAAGAGCATCTTCGCAAGCAGGCTGGCTAACCTAATGAGGAGGGCTTTAAACTAGGTTCACCGGGGGGAAGGAGACCAAAGCCCTGAGGTAAGTGGGCAAGTGGGATACCGGGAGGAAGCATGAGCAGGAGCGCGTGAGAGGGGAGGGCTCCTGCCTCATACTGAGAAAGAGGGACGATCAGCGATTTGTTTCAACTGCCTATACACAAATGCAAGAAACCTGGGAAACAAGCAGGGAGAACTGGAAGTCCTGGCACAGTCAAGGAATTATGATGTGATTGGAATAACAGAGACTTGGTGGGATAACTCACATGACTGGAGTACTGTCATGGATGGATATAAACTGTTCAGGAAGGACAGGCAGAGCAGAAAAGGTGGGGGAGTTGCATTGTATGTAAGGGAGCAGTATGACTGCTCAGAGCTCCTGTATAAAACTGCAGAAAAACCTGAGAATCTCTGGATTAAGTTTAGAAGTGTGAGCAACAAGGGTGATGTCGTGGTGGGAGCCTGCTATAGACCACCGGACCAGGGAGATGAGGTGGACGAGGCTTTCTTCCGGCAACTAACGGAAGTTACTAGTTCGCAGACCCTGGTTCTCATGGGAGACTTCAATCACCCTGATATCTGCTGGGAGAGCAATACAGCGGTGCACAGACAATCCAGGAAGTTTTTGGAAAGCGTAGGGGACAATTTCCTGGTGCAAGTGCTGGAGGAACCAACTAGGGGCAGAGCTCTTCTTGACCTGCTGCTCACAAACCGGGAAGAATTAGTAGGGGAAGCAAAAGTGGATGGGAACCTGGGAGGCAGTGACCATGAGATGGTCGAGTTCAGGATCCTGACGCAGGGAAGAAAGGAGAGCAGCAGAATACGGACCCTGGACTCCAGAAAAGCAGACTTTGACTCCCTCAGGGAACTGATGGCCAGGATCCCCTGGGAGAATAACATGAGGGGGAAAGGTGTCCAGGAGAGCTGGCTGTATTTTAAAGAATCCTGATTGAGGTTACAGGGACAAACCATCCCAATGTGTAGAAAGAATAGTAAATATGGCAGGCAACCAGCTTGGCTTAACAGTGAAATCCGTGCTGATCTTAAACACAAAAAAGCAGCTTACAAGAAGTGGAAGATCGGACAAATGACCAGGGAAGAGTATAAAAATATTGCTCGGGCATGCAGGAGTGAAATCAGGAAGGCCAAACCACACCTGGAGTTGCAGCTAGCAAGAGATGTTAAGAGTAACAAGAAGGGTTTCTTCAGGTATGTTGGCAACAAGAAGAAAGCCAAGGAAAGTGTGGGCCCCTTACTGAATGAGGGAGGCAACCTAGTGACAGAGGATGTGGAAAAAGCTAATGTACTGAATGCTTTTTTTGCCTCTGTCTTCACGAACAAGGTCAGCTCCCAGACTACTGCACTGGGCAGCACAGCATGGGGAGGAGGTGACCAGCCCTCTGTAGAGAAAGCAGTAGTTCAGGACTATTTAGAAAAGCTGGACGAGCACAAGTCCATGGGGCCGGATGTGTTGCATCCGAGAGTGCTAAAGAAGTTGGCAGATGTGATTGCAGAGCCATTGGCCATTATCTTTCAAAACACATGGCGATTGGGGGAGGTCCCGGACTACTGGAAAAAGGCTAACGTAGTGCCCATCTTTAAAAAAGGGAAGAAGGAGGATCTGGGGAACTACAGGCCAGTCAGCCTCACCTCAGTCCCTGGAAAAATCATGGAGCAGGTCCTGAAGGAATCAATTCTGAAGCACTTAGAGGAGAGGAAAGTGATCAGGAACAGTCAGCATGGATTCACCAAGGGCAAGTCATGCCTGACTAATCTAATTGCCTTCTATGATGAGATAACTGGCTCTGTGGATGAGGGGAAAGCAGTGGACGTGTTGTTCCTTGACTTTAGCAAAGCTTTTGAAACTGTCTCCCACAGTTTTCTTGCCAGCAGGTTAAAGAAGTATGGGCTGGATGAAAGGACTATAAGGTGGATAGAAAGTTGGCTAGATTGTCGGGTTCAACGGGTAATGATCAGTGGCTCCATGTCTAGTTGGCAGGCGGTATCAAGTGGAGTGCCCCAAGGGTCGGTCCTGGGGCCGGTTTTGTTCAATATCTTCATAAATGATCTGGAGGATGGTGTGGATTGCACCCTCAGCAAGTTTGCAGATGACACTAAACTGGGAGGAGAGGTAGATACGCTGGAGGGTAGGGATAGGATACAGCGGGCCCTAGACAAATTAGAAGATTGGGCCAAAAGAAATCTGATGAGATTCAACAAGGAGAAGTGCAGAGTCCTGCACTTAGGATGCAAGAATCCCATGCACCACTACAGACTAGGGACCGAATGGCTCGGCGGCAGTTCTGCAGAAAAGGACCTAGGGGTTACAGTGGACAAGAAGCTGGATATGAGTCAACAGTGTGCCCTTGTTGCGAAGAAGGCCAATGGCATTTTGGGATGTATACGTGGGGGCATTGCCAGCAGATCGAGGGACGTGATCGTTCCCCTCTATTCGACACTGGTGAGGCCTCATCTGGAGTACAGTGTCCAGTTTTGGGCCCCACACTACAAGAAGGATGTGAAAAAATTGGAAAAGGTCCAGCGGAGGGCAACAAAAATGATTAGGGGACTGGAACTCATGAGTTATGAGGAGAGGCTGAGGGAACTGGGATTGTTTAATCTGCGGAAGAGAAGAGTGAGGGGGGATTTGATAGCTGCTTTCAACTACCTGGAAGGGGGTTTCAAAGAGGATGGCTCTAGACTGTTCTCAGTGGTAGCGGATGATAGAACGAGGAGTAATGGTGTCAAGTTGCAGTGGGGGAGGTTTAGGTTGGATATTAGGAAAAACTTTTTCACTAGGAGGGTGGTGAAACACTGGAATGCGTTACCTAGGGAGGTGGTGGAATCTCCTTCCTTAGAAGTTTTTAAGGTCAGGCTTGACAAAGCCCTGGCTGGGATGATTTAGTTGGGGATTGGTCCTGCTTTGAGCAGGGGGTTGGACGAGATGACCTCCTGAGGTCCCTTCCAACCCTGATATTCTATGTTTCGGGCCATCTAGTCTGGCCTCCTGCACAAAGTCGAGGCATACTTAGCTTTGCTTCAGCGCAGGGGCCGCACTAGGCCAGCGGTTCTCAAACTTCATTGCCCCGTGACCCCCTTCTGACAGCCAAATTACTACGTGACCCCAGGGAGAGGGGGCCGGAGCCCGAACTCCGCAGCCCTGGGCGGGGATGGAGCTCGGGCTTCAGCTTCAGCCCCGGGTCCCAGCAAGTCCAATGCTGGCCCTGGAAACCCCATTAGAACGGGGTCCCGACCCACAGTTTGAGAACTGCTGCACTAGGCGACCTCTCACGGTCTCGCCTACTGCTCCGTTTCCACGAGTCTGTGACAGGTGCTTCCTGCGACCGCCGGTGTGTCCACCCTTCCTCTTGCAAGCAGGGCCACTTCAGTCTGTCTAAAGTCTTGGGTCCGCTTGCAAAGTCCTGGGGGGGCCTCTATGAGGAGGAGATAAAAACTGCACCGGGGGATACAGCATCACTGTGTGCCCACAGAAAATGCCACTCCCCCCCCCCCCCCCCGCAGATTTCCTGTTTCCCTGCAGAAAATGGCAGGGAAGCCGCGGGTGGAGAGGCAGGGGGCGACCGTATGTTCAGTTTGGGGGGGTTGCCCCCCTCCAAACAGAGGCGAGGTCTTGGGGTGCACAGGGGATTACATGCCACTGCACCCCCCCCCCCCATTCTGCAAGGGCAGAGCTGCCCAGCTGAAGGAGGCTGTGTCTTGACTCTGCTGACTAATCTGCAGCTAAATGCAGCCTCCTGGGTCCTAGTGCCAGTCACTCTCCCCTTCTGTGTGCTGGGAGCCTTGCTGTTTTCTGTGCAGCAAGGAGTGCCAGCAGTGGGGCTGGGAAGGGGGAGTAGGGGGAAGAGGCAGTGGGGAAGAAAGGGGGTGGAATAGGGATGAGGGAAGGAGAATGGAGAAGAAAAGGGGATAGGGGAATCATGGGGGAATCAGGAGCCTGGCAGGCGGTGTTCCCTCGGCAGCAGCTGAGGCTCCTCTGTTGAGCAGGCCCATCGAACCCTCACCCTGACAAGCCCTACCCGCCTACACTTGGTCCTCTCCAATGAGCCCCCCACACCTGGACCCCCACCCCACTGAGCACCTACCAGCTGCACCTGGACCCCCACTCCATCAAGCCCCACTCCCTCAGCACCTGGACCACACCCAGCCCCCCCTCCTGAGCCCCAGCCACCTTCACCTGGATCCCCTGAAGAGTCCCATTGACCCCGCACCCAGAATCCCCAACAAGCCCCTGTGCATTCAGATCTCCCACTGGCCTGCCCGCACCCAGACTGCCCCACACAGAAACCTCTCACCCCACACCTACATCCCCCAACACTAAGCCCCTCCCCACTTGGATCCTGCTGGGCTGAGCCTGCCCTCCTACACCTGGTGCACCTGGCACAGGGGGGCAGGGCCCTGGGGAGTTTCTGGGGCAGGCCCAGCCCTTATGCTGTGTCAGGATCAGGTGCAGCCTCACAGCCGAGTCCTTGTATTGGGGGAGGTGGGGGCTTCAGGGTGATCTCCCTCCTCCATTCTGCCAGTGGCCTGTGCTCCACACTGCCATGCTGGAGCCACATTTATTTATTGACAAATAAAATTTGCAGAATTTTAATATATTGTGCACAGAATTTTAAATTTTTGGCACAGAATTTTAAATTTTGGGGTGCAGAATTCCCTCAGGAGTAAAAAACAAACTCTTCACTGCCAGCACCTTGGCGTTTAGACACAGCCCTAACCAACCCGTGTGTGCATGCGATACGGGGGAAATACTTGGACTGCATCTGTATTTTAACCTGTTATGCTGACAAGTATGTATGTTCACCACAAGATGTCTCTCCAGGCTCTCTGAAGACACCGTTTATGTAGCATCTTCCAGAAGATGACTGGTTTGGAGCATTAGAACTGCCATTGGTTTAGTAAACGAGCTCTCTGCATTCGGGCTCTGGAGGACTGTATTGGACTGGGGAGCTTGTGCTAGTGACAGGCTTGTGTTAGGAAACCATAAGAGTGGCTGGACCTTTTTCCTACATGGGTCCCTGAAGTGTGTCAGGTCAAAGAATGATAGTACACGTGATGGGATGTCATTGCCTTTTATGTGGCTGGCTGGAATGGCCCATCATGGGTAGGGTGACCAGATAGCAACTGGGAAAAAACAGGACGGGGGTGCAGGGGTAATAGGTGGCTATATAAGGAAAAGTCCCCCAAAACAGGACGGTCCCTTTAAAAACGGGACATCTGGTCACCCTAATCATGGGTGGGAATTGGGTGGACAAGCACAGGAAAGCTCTGTGTGTTCTCCTGGATGGAGTATGTCAGACCTGTGTGTACGGAGCAATATGTGTGTGTCCAACATCTGAATAGTGGAACCACTGCTAGGGACCTGGGTTAGCTCACCTGAAGGTCTGGGTCTTTTGTGGGAGTCTAAGGTTGTGGTTTCTGTTCCCTAAAGCACCTGGAGTGCTTTAGCTGATGCCTGTCAGTGTCTGTGTGCTTATAGCCCTAGGGCAGATTTTAATGATAACATCGTAGGAGCCTATAATTGTGTCAACTCTTTCGATTCCAGATACAACGGATTTGACTTAATAAGTCAAAAATGTTTCTGGCTTCCAGGGCTGCAAACGCCATCTGGGTTCTAAAAACCCACTGCGTGTTGTGTTTTTTGCTGCCCTCTTATGGGCGATAAAGATTCTGTCCCTGCGTCAAATGTCCCTTCCGTGTGGAGGGGTAAAGCAGGAATGCCCCCTGTGCCGAGGTCGCCAGCGGCTGGAGCTGAGCACACTGCCTCTGCACTAGCTTTCCCAGCCACAACCTGGCTGTCAGGGTGTTGCGGTCAGGCCTGTTCTGCTCTGGCCGCTGGCAGTCCCACCAGCTGTGGGCTCCTGAGAGCCAAGGTCTCTGCCCTGCTCCTTCCCGGTGGCTGAGTATCTGAGTTCTTGCCTCGTTCCATCCCAGTTCCTTGCTAACCGTGTCTGCCCCCTCTTCCCCAGGGGTGTTCCTGATCCCCTACTTCGTCATGCTGCTCTTCACTGGCCTGCCCCTCTTCCTGCTGGAGCTCAGCCTGGGCCAGTACGGAGCTGCAGGGCCCATCACCGTCTGGAAGTGCTGCCCCCTATTGAAAGGTGAGTCTGTGCCTGGCGCAGCATCCCACTCCCCTGAGTGAGCAGGGCATGGGGAGAGGCAGCTGCCGTACATCTTACCTCCCCCCCATCACTTCTGGCCCCTGGACACACAGTCTCCTTCTCTGTCACCCATAAACCACAGGGGACAAGGTCCTCTGCCCCTCGCTCTGACCACATCACCTCCCGCTCTCGATCCCTCCTCCAGTCCTGCTCCTCCACCGAGTCCAGTTCAAACAGCCTGTCTGCCCCTTCCAGGCCTGGCAGAGCTCCACCCCCATCCCTTATCTGACCACATCCCTCAGCACAGCCCCTCCGGGCTAGGTTTATCCACTTCCCCTGCTGTCTCCGCACTGTCTCCAGCGCCCGGAAATGCCTCCTTGAGCTGCTCTGCAAGGTCAGCGCCCTCTCCTCACCGCAGCCCTCTCTGAGCAGCCTTCCCCATAGGCTGTAACACAAAACCCAGCCTCTCCTCCCTGTCCCCAGAGGATTTCAAAGCACTAAAGAATCTGCCCTCCTGGCCCCCTGGGAGGAGCGTCTGTTGTCTCCATTTCCCAGAGAGGCCAATGGCCTGGCCGGACCTCCCAGATGCGTCCAGCGCTGTAGCCCCCACTGAAATCCACAGGCCTATGGGCACCCGGGAACGTCAGGTCCCACAAGTGACTGGCAGGGCTGGGCGCAGAGCCTGGTCTCCTGACTTCCTGCCCTGCCGCGAGAGCGTCCTTCCTGCTCTAATGGCTGTAAAGTAGGTCTTGGTGCCGGCAGTGTTCTCCGCCGCGGATGGCTCCCAAGCAGAGCTATGGTACTCAGCCATGCTGTCGACTCTCTCCAGCTCAGCCAGACCCTTGTGGGGGGGGGGGGGAACGACTCTGAGCATGAGGACACTCCAAACCAACGAAACAAAACTCTCTCTCAATCCTCTCCTCAATCATCCACTGTCACGGAGTCCCTGAGCGATGCTCTGGAACTGCTCCCCATGAAGCCAGTCAGGACTCTGGGGCAGTCGCCTTTCTCTGAGCAGCCTGTCTTCAGGACACGCAGCTCACACAGCTTCCACCTTCCTGGGTCTGACCTCGGAGCATTCAGCATCCTCTGCCCCTCCGTGCGCTTCCCCCAGCGAGTCCGCTCAGGCGGGGCTCCTGGGGAAGCCAGAGGGTCCGGCACCCCAACTTCGCAGTCAGACGTGACTCTCAGCCAGCCAGTAAAACAGAAGGTTTATTAGACGACAGGAACATGGTCTAAAACAGAGCTTGCAGGTGCAGAGAACGGGACCCCTCAGCTGGGTCCATTTTGGGGGCAGTGAGCCAGACAACCACGTCTGCACTTCACTCCATGTCCCAGCCAGCCCCAAACTGAAACTGCCTCCAGCCCCTCCTCCTCTGGGCTTTGTTCCTTTCCCGGGCCAGGAGGGCACCTGATTCCTTTGTTCTCCAACCCTTCAGCTCTCACCTTGCAGGGGGGAAGGGCCCAGGCCATCAGTTGCCAGGAAACAGGGTGTTGGCCATTCTCTGTGTCCAGACCCCTGCACACACCTGCCCTCTAGGGCTCTGCAATGATCATACACCCTTACCCCACCACCTAGATACTTAAGAACTGCATAGGGGGGAACTGAGGCACCCCCACAATATTCGGAGGAAACATTAAGAACAGGCCCACTTCGTCACATCCACCTTGGGGGAGGGATAGCTCAGTGCTTTGAGCATTGACCTGCTAAACCCAGGGATGTGAGTTCAATCCTTGAGGGGGCCATTTAGGGATGTGGGGCAAAAATTGGGGATTGGCCCTGCTTTGAGCAGGGGGTTGGACGAGATGACCTCCTGAGGTCCCTTCCAACCCTGATATTCTATGATACACCAAAGGAACCCACTGGGCAGCAGGTCCTTGCTCCGGCCCCATGCCATTCAGTGCAAGCATGTGAGGGTGGAACGCCCAGCACCACTCAAACCGTCTGAGCTCAGCAGTGTCTGTCCCCTGCTCCCTCTATACTCCCCCTCCTGGGGGGTTCAGGCCCTAGAGCTTCCTACTCTGTCCCAGGAGCAGGCAGATCACCCTGTGGCCCTGTGCACTGGCTAAGCCAATGCCAATGTGGGCTGTCAGCCTGAGCAGATCTGTCCGAGCAGGATGCTGGGCTGTCCCTAGTCCCACACGGGCTCTGTAGCTGGCAGTGCTGGACGCACCTTGTCTGCGTGAGGGCAGGAAGCCAGCCTGGGGAGGAGAGATTTGGATGAGACGCAAAGGCACCAGCCAGCGAGGGGGCCGGAGAAAGGAAGGGGATGTGGGCCGACGGGCTGAACCTCCTGACAAGAGATGGATGGTTCACTGTGAGATCACTGGGCCCAGAGCCTGCAGACTCGCTGGAGAGAACTGAGGGGACCAGATTGCCGTGGTGGGCCTCGTCTAGTTCCCGCATGCAGCGAGTTCGCTGTGCTGTGTTCGGATCTGAGCGCTCGGGAGCTGCAGAGGTGTCTTCTCCCAGCCTCCCACGCCAGCGCTGGCATGGGACACCGAGATCCGCTGCGTGCCGCTCTGCCTGCTTCTCTTTCACTCCCTCTCAGCGGCCTAGGAGACGTGCTGGTACGTGTCCGGCCAGCGCCTAGCGCAGCGGGGCCCAGCCTGCGGACCTTGCCGTGGTGTCAGGGATGCTCCCTGCAGCACGTGCTGTCTTCCGTCGTTGGCAGCGGGCAATGACCAGTGCCCCACACACGCACACACACCTCGCCATCATTAGTGCAGCTCGGATGCTTGGCCTCGTGGCACCCCTCCCCTGTCTCCATCCACCCGTTGTCTCATGATGGAAGTGTGAGCGCTTTGGGGCAGCAGCCGCCTCTCTCCTGGGGGCCCGGGTCAGCGACGGGGGCCCAGTGGCGCTACGTGCGTTCACGAGGCAGCAGACGTGCCGGCTGTGAATGCCAAAGGGCCCAGCTTCGATCCCTGCTGATGCTCGCAGGGGGTGTGAGCGAGCAGGGCCGGCGTCTACTCGGCAGCTGCACCTTCCTCCCTCCCTTCCCTGCAGGGATCGGCGTGGGCATGCTGCTCGTCTCCTCGCTGGTGTCGCTCTATTATAACGTCATCATCGCCTGGACTTTCTACTACCTGGGCATGTCCTTCCAGAGCCCCCTGCCCTGGTCTTGTGATGCTCCGCGGAACGCCCCCCTCTGCCAGGTCTGTCTCCTCCCTCCCGGATGGCCACTCCGCTGTGGCGGGCCGGGTTATCCACCTCAACAGGGCAGCTTGGCCTGGTGCTGCTTAAAACACTCAGCTGCTCCTCATGCTGCTGTGGATGGGCTAGGAGGGGGCATCTGTCCGGGCCAGCCAGGGCCTCTGTATGTGAGGCTGTTGGGTCCAGGGTACGGCTACTGTAGGAGATGGGGCCGGCCAGCCATAGTGCGAGGATGTTGCCTTTCCCTCTGGGGCCTGTTGCCGTTTGGGGAGGTGTAGATGACCTGACTCCCCTCCCTCTCTGGGGAGCCTGCCTCTCTGTGCGGTGGGACAAGGAACAGGGAGTTTGGCAGGGGAGGAAGCTTCTGCCTGGGGGCAGCCGGCATAGGGTGGGGGAGTGGGTGACCAGCCCGCTCTGTGTCTTGCAGAACGCATCAGGAAACTCCAGCCGGTTCAGTGCCAGCGAGGCCTTCTGGAAGTGAGTGGCTGCGTTATGGTGTTTGTGTTCGGGACTGATTCGCCGCCCTTCCCCGCAGGTCGCAGCCTGCCTGACGCTCTCCCTCTTCGTCAGGGAGCCCCTGTGCTCCTGCGGGAGCCTGAACCCAATTGGCTGGGAGCCTCGCCCACCTCTGCTCACTTGGGAAATGCCTCTGCCAGCTCCGCTCTTGACACCAGGGGGCGCTGCAGTCGGCGGGGTGCTGGGATGAGGGTCCGGGACTCCGTGGCAGGAAAAACAGTTGCATCAAGGGAAACCCCCTGCGTGGAGCTGTGGAACTCGCTGCCACAGGGTGCACTATGCACGAGAAAATAGCCGCTATCCTGGCGGTTGGGGTTGAAGCCATAAGCTCCTCTCCAGGCTGGGTTTGGAGGAAGCATCCTCTGCAATTCTGCCATGGCTCTGTGTTGTCAGTATCACCGTCGACAGCTCACACGGAGACCAAGCCACTAGAGACCCACTGCTGGCAAACCGGCTGGAGGGGGTAGCGGGACCAGCATGCCCGATGTAGGCCTCTGTCATGGGCAGGAGGGGACTGGCTGGTGGGTGGGAAGCTGTTGCCAAAGTAGGAGGCAGGTATGAAGCCAGGAGGGGGCAAAGGGATCTGGTAGTGGGCACGGAGGCAGGATTTAACACCCACTCAGTAGCCCCCCCACCATTCTGGTCCAGGGGGGCGGAGGGAGGCGACACCCTGTGTTCAGCGCAGGCTGGGTCTGCGTGTCTTTAACCTGTGTTTGGGCCGTGCAGCGAGCAGGTGCTGGGGGTCACGCACAGCTCCGGCCTCCACGACCCAGGCCCGGTGAGGTGGCCGCTCGCGGTATGCTTGTTGGTCGCCTGGATCGTCATCTTCCTGTGCATGCTAAAGGGGATCCGCAGCTCGGGCAAGGTGAGTGGCGGGCAGGGCGCAGGGTTTGCTAGCGTGGGCTGCTGCCCGGACTAATCGGTGTTGAGCTGGGGCCGCGTCTCATGAATTCTCACTAGGCTCCCAGACGCTCGCTATCCTACAGGTGTCCTGTGCGTCGGCCGGGAGGGCAGATGGGGTAAGAGGCGGATCTGCCATGGGAAGGCTAGAGAGAGGCTGGGGCTTCTCTGGTTAAAAGGATATTGCCACACCCACGCCTTCACCGTCAGCATGTCCTGAGATCTCCCCTCCAGGGTGTCTGCGCTGGGGAGGGGTTCTGGGCTCCCCAGCCCTGCACAGGACTGGGGGGGGGCACTACACATCGATTGGGGGGCGAAACCGCTAAATATAGCAACAAGCAAAGTGCTCATCTCCTCCCACCCCCAAAGAAAAAGGCCCCAGGGCACAGAACAACGAATAACCAAGAAGTAGGGCCTGGCCCCACAGCACATAGACCAGCCCATGGAATTGGGGGGGAGGTGTCGGTCATGCATGCTCTGACCCCAACAAGGCTCAGAACAGACCCACAGGACCCCTGGGGCGCTCTGTGCATGGTGTTCCTGGCCCCATCCAGGCTCCCCGCTGGCTCTCGGGAGGCTGCACCAGGCTGAATCCGGCTGGGTTCGTCCTGCAGTTGGTTCTGCCCCACGGTGTTGCCAGAGTGATGCCATATTATTAGGGTCCCGGACCGTGAAATCTGGTCTTTTGTGTACTTTTACCCTATACTGTACAGATTTCATGGGGGAGACCAGAGTTTCTCAAATTGAGGGTCCTGACCCCAAAGGGATTTTTTTGGGGGGGTCACAAGATTATTGTAGGGGGTCTGGGGTATTGCCACCCTTACTGCTGTGCTGCCTTCAGAGCTGGGTGGCCAGAGAGCAGCGGCTGGTGGCCAGGTGCCCAGCTCGGAAGGCAGCTCCCCGCCAGCAGCCATGCAGAAGTAAGGGTGGCAAGCCTGCAATAACCTTGCAACCCCCCAGCACCCACCAAAACCCCCTTTTGGGTCAGGACCCCCACAGTTACACCACCGTGAGATTTCAGATTTAAATAGCTGAAATAATGAAATTTACTATTTTTAAAATCCTATGACGGTGAATCCTATGACTATGTCTTACCCTCCATCCTGGGCCTGGGCCCCCCCCATTGACATCCACACTGCAGGGTGTGGGTGTCTCCTTGGTGCTGGCGGGTGCAGCGCATCAGGGATGGTGTGTGTGGGGGGGTGAGCAGCCAGTGGTGCTGTCAGCACCATGGGGGGCTGATGGATGCAGCGTGCCAGGGGTGGGGGGGGGGGGTGTAAGCAGCCGGGGGTGTGGCCGTGCAGGGATGGAGGGGGGATTTGATAGCTGCTTTCAACTACCTGAGAGGTGGTTCCAGAGAGGATGGTTCTAGACTATTCTCAGTGATGGAAGAGGACAGGACAAGGAGAATGGTCTCAAGTTGCAGTGGGGGAGGTTTAGGTTGGATATTAGGAAAAACTTTTTCACTAGGAGGGTGGTGAAACACTGGAATGCGTTACCTAGGGAGGTGGTGGAATCCCCTTCCTTAGAAGTTTTTAAGGTCAGGCTTGACAAAGCCCTGGCTGGGATGATTTAGTTGGGGATTGGTCCTGCTTTGAGCAGGGGGTTGGACTAGATGACCTCCTGAGGTCCCTTCCAACCCTGATATTCTATGAGTCTATGATTCTACAGCCGGGGGTGTGGCCGTGCAGGGATGGGGGGGGGGTGTTACAGCCGGGGGTGTGGCCGTGCAGGGATGGGGGGGTGTTACAGCCAGGTGTGTGCCGTGCAGGGATGGGGGGGTATATAAGCAGCCGGGGGTGTGCCGTGCAGGGATGGGGGGGTATATAAGCAGCCGGGGGTGTGCCGTGCAGGGATGGGGGGGGGGTATATAAGCAGCCGGGGGTGTGCCGTGCAGGGATGGGGGGTATATAAGCAGCCGGGGGTGTGCCGTGCAGGGATGGGGGGGGTATATAAGCAGCCGGGGGTGTGCCGTGCAGGGATGGGGGGTATATAAGCAGCCGGGGGTGTGCCGTGCAGGGATGGGGGTATATAAGCAGCCGGGGGTGTGCCGTGCAGGGATGGGGGGGGTATATAAGCAGCCGGGGGTGTGCCGTGCAGGGATGGGGGGGGGTATATAAGCAGCCGGGGATGGGGCCGTGCAGGGATGGGGGTATATAAGCAGCTGGGGGTGTGCCGTGCAGGGATGGGGGGGTATATAAGCAGCCGGGGGTGTGCCGTGCAGGGATGGGGGTATATAAGCAGCCGGGGGTATGCCGTGCAGGGATGGGGGTATATAAGCAGCCGGGGGTGTGCCGTGCAGGGATGGGGGGGGTATATAAGCAGCCGGGGGTGTGCCGTGCAGGGATGGGGGGGTATATAAGCAGCCGGGGGTGTGCCGTGCAGGGATGGGGGGGGTATATAAGCAGCCGGGGGTGTGCCGTGCAGGGATGGGGGGGGTATATAAGCAGCCGGGGATGGGGCCATGCAGGGATGGGGGTATATAAGCAGCCGGGGGTGTGCCGTGCAGGGATGGGGGGGTATATAAGCAGCCGGGGATGGGGCCGTGCAGGGATGGGGGTATATAAGCAGCCGGGGGTGTGCCGTGCAGGGATGGGGGGGGTATATAAGCAGCCGGGGGTGTGCCGTGCAGGGATGGGGGGGGTATATAAGCAGCCGGGGGTGTGCCGTGCAGGGATGGGGGGTATATAAGCAGCCGGGGATGGGGCCATGCAGGGATGGGGGTATATAAGCAGCCGGGGGTGTGCCGTGCAGGGATGGGGGGTATATAAGCAGCCGGGGATGGGGCCGTGCAGGGATGGGGGTATATAAGCAGCCGGGGGTGTGCCGTGCAGGGATGGGGGGGTATATAAGCAGCCGGGGGTGTGCCGTGCAGGGATGGGGGTATATAAGCAGCCGGGGGTGTGCCGTGCAGGTGGTGTATTTCACAGCGACGTTCCCGTACCTGGTCCTCATTGTGCTCATCATCCGAGGAGCCACGCTGGAGGGATCCATCGAGGGCGTCCGCTTCTACCTCTCCTCAGACTGGAGCAGGCTACAGAGCGCTCAGGTACCCCGCCCCCCACCGCCTTGGGCCCCTTAGACTCCCCATGTCCCCCCTCGGGGTGTCTGCTGCTGTTTCTGCGGGTGGGGTCGTCCTGGGGCTGGCTGGAGGGGGTGAGCACAGAGCCACCAGGTGCTTGGCAATGGGCCCTGAGCAGATGGCTGCAGCTCAGCCCGAGCGTGCGTGGGGGGCTTTGCGCTTGGCGGGCGCGGGGTCGGCGGGACGCGGCGGCCTGCAAGGAGCATGTTGGGGGTGGGGAAGGAGCCGGCTCCCAACCAGCTTCTCTCCCCTAGGTGTGGAACGACGCTGCCTCGCAGATCTTCTACTCGCTGGGCATTGGCTTCGGGGGGCTGCTCTCCATGGCCTCCTACAACAAGTTCGACAACAACGTGATCAGGTGAGCGGGCGGGCCAGGGAGCGCTCTGGGCCAGGCCGGGCGGGGCTGGGGCAGCCCGGTCCCGAGTGACCCTGCACACGTGCTGTGGGGGGGTCCTTGCTGCCATGGTGAGTCCCGAGCCACCTGGGTCTCTACTCTTGTCCCAGAGCTAGAGCTGGAGACCTGCTCCCGAATGCCAGGTCCTGCCAGCGGGCTACCACCACTGGGGCGGGGAACTGGGTCGCAGCTCCTTGGCTCTGCCACCCCCTCGGCTCCATGGGGAGCTGCTTGATGGTGTGAACGCCTCATCCCAAAGGCTTGACGGTCTCTGTGCCAGAGATCCTGGGCCCGGGGGGGCAGCCCTGGCTCCCGCCAACTCCTCGTACATCTCCTCCCCCTCCCCCGCTCTGCTGCCCACAGGGACACCCTGGTTATCGCCATCGGGAACTGCTGCACCAGCTTCTTCGCTGGATTCGCCATCTTCTCCGTCCTGGGCCACATGGCGTGGAGGAAGAGAGTGCCGGTGGGGGAGGTGGCTGACTCAGGTATGGGCGGGGCCGGCTGGCCATCCTGCCTGGATGAAACCATCCCCGCTCAGCGCCTGCCTCCCACCCTGCCCCGCCCCAGCCCAACTCCGTGCCTGCCCCAATGATGCTGAGGGGTGGGGGGAGGTTCTTGCTGCCAATTCCTCTCCGGATCAGGCCAGCTGGGCCTCCAGCAGGAGCTGCTCTCACTCTGTCCCCTTGAGGATCAGGCGGCTCCTTGCCGGGCACCTTGCCCTGGATTTAGGAGCTTCGCTTTGGGCAGCTGGGTTTAAAACTTGGCCTTTAACGGGGGCTCTGGGGATGATTCAGGCCCATCCCTGTGAGGGATGCAGCCCGTCCTCAGGGCGTCCCGGCCGGGCACTGTTGGAGTGTCAAATTCGTGTCCCGTCCCCCCCAACGCTTCTCAAATGTGCCCCGGCCCCGGCCCCGGCTCACGTTCCCTTCAGGGGCCGCCCCTGGTACCGCCGTTGCTCTGGTGTTACCTGCACACATTAGGGCACCCCACCTTTTCCCAGCCCGTCGGGCTCCAGGCGTAACCCGGTGAATTTAGGCACCCCCACCTTTTCCCAATTCGTAGGGCTCCAGGCAAAAAGCACCTACCCCTTCCCAATCCGTAGGGTGCCGGGGGTGACTAACCCGGTCAATGTAAGTACCCACACCCGTTCCCAATCCGTAGGGCGCCGGGGGTAACTAACCCGGTCAATGTAAGTACGCACACCCGTTCCCAATCCGTAGGGCGCCGGGGGTGACTAACCCGGTCAGTGTAAGTACCCACACCCCTTCCCAATCCGTAGGGCGCCGGGGGTAACTAACCCGGTCAATGTAAGTACCCACACCCGTTCCCAATCCGTAGGGCGCCGGGGGTAACTAACCCGGTCAATGTAAGTACCCACACCCGTTCCCAATCCGTAGGGCGCCGGGGGTGACTAACCCGGTCAATGTAAGTACCCACACCCGTTCCCAATCCGTAGGGCGCCGGGGATAACTAACCCGGTCAATGTAAGTACCCACACCCGTTCCCAATCCGTAGGGCGCCGGGGATAACTAACCCGGTCAATGTAAGTACCCACACCCGTTCCCAATCCGTAGGGCGCCGGGGGTGACTAACCCGGTCAGTGTAAGTACCCACACCCGTTCCCAATCCGTAGGGCGCCGGGGGTGACTAACCCGGTCAATGTAAGTACCCACACCCGTTCCCAATCCGTAGGGCGCCGGGGATAACTAACCCGGTCAATGTAAGTACCCACACCCGTTCCCAATCCGTAGGGCGCCGGGGGTAACTAACCCGGTCAGTGTAAGTACCCACACCCGTTCCCAATCCGTAGGGCGCCGGGGATAACTAACCCGGTCAATGTAAGTACCCACACCCGTTCCCAATCCGTAGGGCGCCGGGGGTAACTAACCCGGTCAGTGTAAGTACCCACACCCGTTCCCAATCCGTAGGGTGCCGGGGGTAACTAACCCGGTCAATGTAAGTACCCACACCCGTTCCCAATCCGTAGGGCGCCGGGGGTGACTAACCCGGTCAATGTAAGTACCCACACCCGTTCCCAATCCGTAGAGTGCCGGGGGTAACTAACCCGGTCAATGTAAGTACCCACACCCGTTCCCAATCCGTAGGGCGCATACTACTTCTGCAGATGTGCAGGACCTTTTACCAGTGAAAGAGCCTTACACAGTCATATCCTGCATAACCTCTATTTATTAACAATCCCCCCAAACAGATGGCACACGCTACACACTCACAGTGCTCACCACTCCCAATAAGACAGATGAACTTTTCTGGATGGCCAGTCAGGATCAGGTCCATCTGGGGGACTCCAGTTTCTGCTCGGGGTCATTGGCAGGGTATTGAGGTCTGGCCGCTCTGATCTTTGGGGCCATGTCCTGGACTTGGCTCCCAAAGAACTTCCTTTTGGACCCCAGTTTATACAGTGAAATTTGAGTCCTGTTTAGCTCTACCTTAAGCAATCGTTACACTAAAATTTTACTAACCAATCCTAACACAGTGTAACAAAATTCTCTAACCAATCCTACCCCACCACCTTCATTAATTTACACCTAGCAAAATTAATTATGCACCAGACAGAAACAATGAACGAACCAGACAGATAAACAATAGGGAACTGGGGACCGTAATGACAAAACAACAGAAGCGAGGATTTCACACCCCAGCTATTGAGAAGTGAGTTCCTGCCAGACAGGATGCTACCAACTACATTTTCTTTAACCATCTTAAGATCGGTTTCTTTATCTGGTGATAGCAGACGAAGGCTTTAGGTCTTACAATATGGCTGCAGACAAAGGCCTTATCCTGATACCAGGGTGGACACACGGTGGCCAGGAGTGAACCATGCTGGGCTGGGCTGCTGAGGGAGGCTGTTCTCCATTTCTCCTCCTCCCGCCAGGTCCTGGACTTGCCTTCGTGGCCTACCCAGAAGCCCTTGCTCTGCTGCCTGGCTCTGCCTTCTGGTCGGTCCTGTTCTTTCTGATGATGTTCACGCTGGGAGTGGACACCCTGGTGGGTCTAACCTGGCGGGTCCTCGCTTGCACGCCGCTGGCCTCTCTGGCCCCCGCCTCCCTGACCGTGGGTCTGGGACGCGCCAGCCCCTAGGAACACAGAGAAGCTTCTGCAGCCACCTGTCGGCTCCACCTGCCTCTTGGACGCCTGGTCTAGCAGCTTTCCCCGCTCACCCCGGCATCCGCAAATCCTGCTGGGCCAGGGGGTCGTTCGCTGGCAGAGCTGGGTTTGTGGGGGACGGTGTCAGCACCTTCCCCCAGGACACATTGTCATGTCCTTTATAGGGGGGCAGCGGGTGGTCCTTGGAGGGGTGGGGCAGGAGCATGTGGTGGGGTGCTCCTCGGAGGGGTGGGAGGGGGGGTGGGCTGCTCCTTGGAGGGGTGGGGCAAGGGCATGTGGTGGGGCAGGGGCTGGGGCAGGGTGTGGTCCTTGAAGGGGTGAGGTAGGAGCATGCTGTGGGGCAGGGGTGTGGGGTGCTCCTTGGAGGGATGGGGCTGGGGGGGGGGGGCTCCTTGCCACCTTGAGTAGGACGGGCAGTCAGGAGTGAACTTTGCTGGCTCTTTCTGGACTCAGCCCCACGTGATGTGTGGGGTGCTCCCCTGCGGCCCAGGGCCTGGAGACGCTCCCTGTGCACCGGGGCTCCGGGGCGCATTTGGCAGGGTGCCGGGGCACAGAGCACACGTCCCGAGACTGGCAGTGCCCCACGGGCAGGAGCCCGGGGTGTCCTGACGCCCGTCTCTCCCCCAGTTCGGGAACATGGAGGGCATCACCACGGCCGTGCTGGACGAGTTCCCGGCCCTGCGCGAGTGGAGACGGAAAACCCTCTTCCTGGGCGCACTGTGCTTCACCTTCTACCTGCTGGGCCTGCTGCTCATCACCGAGGTAGGGCAGAGCTCAGCCCCCGGCCTGTCCTGTGCAGGGCCATGGCCCCACGGGGAGCCGGCTGTCGGGGCCGAATTGCCTCCAGCCCACAGATGCCGTCGGCCTCGGGGCAGGAGCTGACGACTGCCTGCTTGGCACGGGGACGGCGCCTTCCCCACCGGATGGGTTATATCCCGCCCCCCCATGCCCCGGGGGTGCTCACCCTGCTCTGCCCCGGCCGATGCTGGCCGCACGCGGGCTGGAGACGGGTGCCGGGCCTGTGGCTCAGCTGGCCACGTGCTGAGCAAGCAAAGCGCCCGCGGCGGGTCCGTGGGGGCAGAGGCTGCCCCTCTGGCATGGCAGGCGCTGGGCGCCTCTCCCTGCCTGCGCCCGGCCGGGTGTTCACGAGCCCACTGCACTGTCGCTTGCAGGGCGGCATTTACTGGTTCACCCTCATCGACGCCTACAGCACCAGCTTCGGTCTCATCATCATCACCCTCTTCATGTGCGTCGGCATTGCCTTCTTCTACGGTGAGTGTCCCCAGCCCGGGGCTCGGCACATCCCAGAGCGTTGGACTAACCTCCCTCCCGCACCGCGGAAATGCAGCCACCTCTGGGGCGCGACGTGGCAGCTGCTTCACAGCACCCAGCAACACCGCTCCACCTTGCGCAAGTGTCAGCAGGGTGCTTGGTGCTGTATAGGATGCCGAGGGAGCCCCAGGCCCTGGCTATCTCCACCCTGGAGGGCAGTACGTTTCCAGGCGAGGGTCAGGCTCCCCCGCTACCTCCTGAGCGCCCGAGCACCCACTCTGCAGCCCCTGGGGGTTGCTGGGCAGTCTGCCGTCCATCCCCTGCCCTGGTGTACCCCTGCGTAGCCGGGGAGCTTGCCCAGTGCCGGGGCTGGCTGAGTGGTGGGGATGCCCCCCCAGGCCTGGTGCAGGGGATGACCACGGCCCCGGAAGTTCTCCTCTTTAAACTCCCGTTTGTCCCCCTCTCAGGAGTGAACCAGTTCTGCCGGGACATCGTGGACATGATCTGCCGGTGCCCGCCCTGGTGCGGCAAGCTGGTGCTCTACTTCAAGGCATGCTGGGTGTTCATCACGCCATGCCTGCTGCTGGTAGGTACCGGCCCTGCCCGAGAGGTGCCCGAGCCACCCGCGACGGGCAGCGCCTGTATGGCCAGGCCCCGGCCAACTATGGCGCTGAAGAGCTGAGCTGCTCGGGGGCCTTCCTGACCCGGCAGCCCGCTGGGGGCCGTGCAGGCTCCTTGTGTCCCAGCCTGTACCACGCCCTTGGCATCCCCGGGCAATGCCAGTCTCGACGGTGCTGCACCACTGCCCCCTAGTGGCTGCAGCCTGCACAGCACAAACCCTGCTCGCTCTGGGGTTCCTGGGGCTAATTCGCCGGGTGAGTGGGGCCATTCCCTGCCTTTAGGCCGTTTCCATCTTGCTCTGATCAAGAAGCTGAGGGTAGAGACAAAAGGACCCCTCCCCCAGGTATTTCACCTGGTGAGCTTCATTTGGAGCTGTGGCTCGTTTGGGCCCCGGGCTATTGGTAGCCAAGTGGCCGCACTCCGCCCCGGCACCGGGCCTGGCATCACAGTGTCTCCAGGAGGCTCCCCAGCTCGGACCCTCCACTGCTGGTGACTGCACCACCCTTTGGGCCGGGGAGAGTCCCAGCCGCTGCATCGTGGGGGCTCACGCTATGAAACCCACACAGACGAGACCAAGCTCTGGCAGCCCTTGTGACCCCCATCCCCATGGGCACCTCCTGGGGTGGGGGTGGGCAGGCCCCTTGCTGCAAGAGGTGGGTCCGGCTGGCGGGGGAAGGGCTGGGGGTGTCTGACCGCGCTGCTTGGATCTGCCCTTCCAGTTCATCCTCTTCTACATCTTCCTGGAGACGTACAACACGTCCCTGCACTACGGCGCCTACACCTACCCCGGCTGGGGCAAGGCCCTGGGCGTGTGCATGGGCACCGTGACCTGCATCCAGATCCCGCTCTGGGCGCTCGTGGCCGTCTGCAGGGAGTCGGGGACGCTGACGGACGTGAGTGCGGGGCCGGGCGGGCTGGGGCACGCCGAGCCGCCCTCTCTGCCGCCTCCCCAGCACCCAGTGGCTGGGGGAGGGACCCAAGGGGTGGGGAGGGCGTGGCTGGAAGGAGCTGGGAGCTCCCGGTTGTGGGGGGGTCACCCTGCAGCGTGGGGCATGCTGGGGTCAGGGCTGAGGCTGGGATCTGGACACCTGCCCCCTCTCACCACCTGGGGCCCCTGGTCTGGAGCCCTGCTGGGCCCCGGTTTCTCCTTTCTGGGCAGGGCTCAGGCTCCCGACCGCAGCCCCATGGCCCGGCCCTGCGGCCATCGGGCAAATGCTGGAGTCGTGCCCCAGTGGTAGTGTGCCTCAGCCCCCCGCCCGCGAGTCCTTGGGCCCTGCCCCCCGCCCCGAGGGCTGGGCCTGGCTCACCCCCCCGCCCCACCGAGTCCTTGGGCCCCCCCCCCCCCGCCCCGAGGGCTGGGCCTGGCTCACCCCCTGCCCCACCGAGACCTTGGGCCCTGCCCCCCGCCCCGAGGGCTGGGCCTGGCTCACCCCCTGCCCCACCGAGTCCTTGGGCCTTCCCCCCCGCCCCGAGAGCTGGGCCTGGCTCACCCCCCGCCCCACCGAGTCCTTGGGCCCTGCCCCCCCCCGCCCCAAGGGCTGGGCCTGGCGCCTGACTCAACCCCCGCCCCCTTGGGCCTCACTCCCCCCGCAAGGCTGGTCTTGGTGCCTGGCTCACCCCCACCCCACCTCCTTGCAGCGGTTCCGGAAAGCCATCCATCCCCTGAACTCCTGGCGCACAGCGACCACCCACGCCGAGGTCATCGACGTCCCCTTCACCATCAACCTGGTGGACAGCGACTTCGCCAGCCCGCCCCAGGGGAGCAGCGAGGCCTGAGCAGCAGAACTGGGGCTCCAGGCCTGGCTCAGCCGCGAACAGGTGGCTGCCGGTGGCCGCCCCCTCCGGGCTGGGCAGCTGCTCTTGGCTCCGTCGGGGCAGCCTTGGGCCGGCGCTCACGGGACGCGCTGGAGGCTGCAGATGGCACCTCGCCTGCAGGAGACGATGCGGGGCTGGAACCTGCTGCTCTCCAGCCGCGCCGGGGCCCTCAGGCCTCTGCTCAGGACTGCGGCCGGCCAGCCTCCGGGTGCTTTGCAAGAGGGGCCCTGCCTCTGAGACCTTCTTAAAACTCTGCAGGAAAAGGATTGTACTCAAGAGCATCAATTGCACATGCCCCCCGGTGTGGATGCCTGCCCCCCGGGCATGGACAGACAGGTGGGTGCCCTGGGGCAGGGACAGAGAGGTGCACGCTCCTTGCCCAGCTGCACCCCTCTGCTGGAAGTGATTACCCATCGCTGTAGCGAAGCTGGCGTGCTGCTATCCTGGAGGACCCCCCCCCCCAAGCATTATCGTCTGTGCAGGGGGCTAGCCAGGCCCCCAAGGGCTGGGCCTGGGGCGGAGAGCTGGGGTGTGGGACTCCCCTAGTTCTGCGGCTGCCAATCCCATGAGGTCTAGTCCCCAGGTTCCCTCCTCTGGCTTGGGTCTTGCCTCCTGCCAGCGGTTCCCCCAGCGGCCCACGTGTGGGGTTCTGCCCCTGGCGCCTCGGGCCAGGCTATGGATGGGCATGGAGTCCGTGTGGCTGCAGGGAACGTGCCTGATGGGCGGCTGCCGGGAGTCAGCACTGGCCTTCCTACCCCTGACCCCGCTCTGGGTGGCAGCCGGCCAGCTGCTTGGTTGGCCAACCCATCCATGGCTCTAATCCGCTCCTGCCATGGTCTCAGCCTGGGCACCCCGGACCCCTAGCAGGCGGCGGCTGGCAGGGTCACAGCCCAAGCCTGCCCCGGGGCAAGGACTTGTGGCCAGGGGTATGGTGGCAACACCAGGTTCTTGGTGCACAGCTGGGCAGTACCTTGCCCTCACCTGCTCTGTGGGAACTGCCCAAGTGGGAGGGTGGCAGCTGCTGTGGGCAGGGCCGGGAGAGAAGCACTGATCTGGGGGAGGGAATCTCTCCACGTGCCGGCCCTCCCGAGGGGCTGGGTTTGAGGGGCCCCGGCTCTCAGGCCGATGGGATTTCGCTGCTGCCGAAATAAAGGCCCGGTGTTTCCCAGCCAAAGTGTGGAAAGTCTCTTCTGAGTGCTGCCCGGGCCCCGTGTGGGGCTGCTCCAGGCTGTGGGGTGACGGTCCAGCAGCCCTCGGTCTGCACGGCAGTATGAATTGACCCCGAGCCCGCCACCCCAACCAGGGCTTGGAGCCCACCTGCCCCAGCAGGAAGGGCCTGAGCTCTCCCCGCTGGTCATCGGCCAGTGCCAGCACTTCACCAAACTGGGCGCTTTCGGTTTAAAACGTCCCCGTGGCTGAGTGCTGACCCCTCGGGGGCAGGGCCGGCTGAGTGACGCCCCCCTGCAGCTGCTGTATCCCCAGCCAAGCCACAGGGGCACATGGCTGGCCTGGAACACCTGCGGCCTGTGCCAGCTGCCCCAAGGCAGCCCTGGGGTGCAGGGCGGGGGCTGAGCAGGACTGGCTACCAGGCTCCTCGCTGCCCTGCGGGAGGATTTAGAGCTGCCTGGAAACACTGGCAGAAAAGGCAGCTGGGCCCAGCACCATGTAACCAGGGCGGCACTGGCGGGTTGGACAGGACGTTCCAGCCATGGGCGCACGGGCGGCTTTGGGTGAGTTTTATTCCCCCTCCCCCGGCTCTGATCATAGAATCATAGACTATCAGGGTTGGAAGGGACCTCAGGAGGTCATCTCGTCCAACCCCCTGCTCAAAGCAGGACCAATCCCCAATTTTTGCCCTGGATCCCTAAATGGCCCCCTCAAGGATTGAACTCACAACCCTGGGTTTAGCAGGCCAGTGCTCAAACCACTGAGCTATCCCTCCCTGATGCTGGCAGGCAGTTCAGGGCTTTTCATGCCCCAGGGCAGCAGGGGAGATGGATGTTTCCGTTTCTGCCTGCTGGGCTCTGGCTGCTGCGGGGCTGGTCCCCCCCCTCCAGTTCCAGCTTGACACTGGCCTTATCCCTACAGCCAGGCGCTGGCTCCTGTACCAGGGCCGGCCGCAGCCTGTGCCCAGCCCGGCCCTCCCTGGTGCAGGCCCCGGCTCCCAGAGGAGAGTGCGAGGATCTTCTGGGGCAGGGGCAGAGAGAATCTGGGGGGGGCCACCAGCGGCTGCAGGGCCTCTTGCTGGAGTCACAGCACAGGCTGCCCGGGAGTGCTGGCATAAGGGGGGTGGGACCAGGGCCTCTGCAGAACCTGGGCGCAGCAGGAAAGTTGGCAGCATGTTCCGGGTTGGCTGGCTCATTAAGAGTCGCACCCCAATGAGTGACCCTGTGTGTGTGTGTTTGGGGGGGGCAGGCAGAGCCCTGGCCCTGTGTGTGATTGCTGCAAGACACCCCCCCCGGTGTCATGGGGTACTAGAGACCACCCCATAGGCCCCTGGCTGCTACTTGGCACCCTGGGACCCCTCTGCCCATCATAGCTGTTCTGCCAGCTGCATGTCAGCTCCTGTCAGGGCCCCGGCCGGCTTGACTCCGACCCTCTCCCGTTGGGACGGGGTGTGTATCTAGGCGAAGGGCTGCAGGACTCGTACCAGGCTGCAAACCAGCTAGTGCCCAGGGAGCGCAGCCCCCGTCACCAGGGAAGCGGTGATGCGTGTGTGAGCCTGGCAGACCCTGACCCTCTGCTGTTCAGCCTGGGGCTTGGCCTCTCGGTGCCCGTTCCTCGCGGCAGCCAGCCAAGAAGAGACCAGCAGCCCCTTGCTCAAAATCTCCTACATGCTTTATTGGATTGAAAACAGTTTTATGAAATGACAAAACAAATCAGACTTGGCAGATGCATCACAATCGCTGCTTTAGAAATGCCACCACCTTCTCCGGCAAGCATTGCCACAGGGCGCCCGGCCCAGCAGGGGTGCCCTGCCCACAGGCAGTGCCCAGAGCAGGGAGGACGCACCCGGGCCTGCTGGGGTTGGGCTGTAAGACGCTCAGGCCTGGGCTACGCACCTCTCCGGGGCCCTTCCTGCCCTGCTCTGGAACCGCTGCCGGGAGGGACTTGGGCGCTGCTGCAAGGCAAGGCCCCCAGGCTGCTCTCAGCGGGGGTCGGGAGCCCTTTCCAAGACAGCTGGTCTGGTCTGAATCTGCTCCAGTGCCATCAAAGCTGCATGGAGCAGGACCAGCCCAAGGTGGCAGGGGAGGGTATGTGACCCAGTGCTACCTGGCACTAGCTGGCAGCCGCTGCCCGCCCAGCAGGACTAGGGGCTGGCTCCTCGCGCTGGGTCTCCCACGTCAGACAGGTGGCCAGCAGCAGCCAGGAGGGCAGGTGAGTGAGGAATCGCAGGCACTTAATCAACATAGAGGATTTTTCACTTATCTCAAAGCAACAATGTAATCGTCTAACTACCGGCTCGAGAACACCTCGTCCGCCCGTCCTGGAGACGCGACAGACCGGCTACAAGCAAAGGCCCCAGCCAGCCCCTCTTCCTCCTCAGGGATCCTGCAGCCAGCCCTGCTTATCCCCCCAGGATTCCTCCACAATACGGCAGGCAAAACGCCAGGCCCTCGCCCCGAGGCTCCTTGGTGGTTGCTCAAAGCCTGGGCGCTCCCCTGCTGGGATGAATGGGTGGGAACAGGGAGCCGTGCTGCAAAGGGGAACCCCCAAGGCCAATCGCTCCTCCCTGGGAACCAGACACGGCCCAGCATGCAGCAAAGCCGACTCCTCCACATACCCGGAACCCGCCCGCCTTCCTGAGGGGAATTCTCATTCTCCAACGCTCTGGGTCCAAGCCCAGGGGAAGGGCCTGTGCTCTTGGCCCTGTTCTGAAGACAAGTCTTTGGCCCGACTCACCCGGGCAGCTCAATGGAGCACAAGGTGGTCGCCCAGCTGTACCCAAATGGCTTGCGGCCCTTTGGCCTGGTAGGAGCTGCTCTGGGGTTCACAGCATCTGCCTCCCCCACACCCGATTTCCTTTGCCCAGTGCCTGGCCCTGGCTGAAGGAAGCCCATCTCCAGCTCCTGCTACAGGGGCTGGGAAGGCTGAGACAGGGCAGGGCCTGCTGGGTGATCCTCACCAAGCAGGCCCCGCTTCAGAAACAACCCGGCAGGCTGCAGCCATCCCCTCAGCCAGCTAAAGAAACAAACACTGCCTAGAATAGACTTGGCCACGGTTCCTGAATGCAGAAACACTGGCCAGGCCCTTGCTCTCTCTCCACCCCAAGCCCTCAATCCGCTGGCAGGCACGTGCCTTCTGCTCTCCCCTGCCAAAAACGCATAAGCCCCATCCACTCTCCCTAGTCACCTCAGCCACGGGGCGTCTTTCCCCAAGTGCCCTACACTGCCCAAGGAGAGCGGCAAAGACACGGACGAGGCAGCTAACCCTCAGAGATCGCAGCGGATTCAACCCTGAGTAGCCAGGACTAGGCCCTGAGCTCCCCGAGCCACTGCCCTGGCCCAGGCGAGAGGGAGGCCAAAGCCCTGGGGGTGCATAGATGCAAGCGGCGGGCCTGGCACAGAGGGAACCCTCCCCTGGTCAGGTTCTCAAGCTGAGCAGGAGCCACACGTGCAGGAGTCCCGAAGAAGCCAAAAGGGGGAAAAAATCAAAGCACATTAAACAAACCCTAACTGCCGTGTGGCCAAGCGGAGGCAGGACCGCTCGGAAGTCATGAGAAGCCATGCACTGCAAAGCAGGGGGCTACTGAATCGGAGGGAGGGAGAAGAGGCGGCTGGTTTACAAGTCAGGAAATAAATACGTTTAAATAGCTCCTTCCCCTGCAGATTTTACAAGACTTGCTTGGGAGGCGGGGAGGAGGGGGTGGGCAGTCGCAAGCACCCCACCCATGTGGCTCCTGGAAGGGGTGGGAAGGGTGCCTTCGCCCATGGCTCTGTGCCCCGCCCCTCCCTGCCCAAGGGACTGGGTTGGTGGCTGGCTTTCCTCCTCCTCCTACTTCTTGGGCTTTTTGAAGATCTTTAGGGGGAACTTTTTCTTGCCCTGGCTGGAGTCAGTCTCCTCGCCCGTGGAGCCGCTGTCCTCTTCCCCGGCGTTCTTCTTGGCGGCCAGCTGCGGGATGCGGGTGTTCTTAGCGTTGCCGGGCCTGGAGTCAGAGATGGGGGAGGGCGTGTCGGGCTCGGTGGAGCTGGGGCTGTGTGAGCGGGAGGAATCGGAGTGGCTCTGCCTGCCCGCCGTCGGGTGGCTGATCTCCCCGAGGCTGGTGGACTTCTCCATACCATGGTTCAGCATCATCATCTTCTTCGCCACCACCGGGCTCTCGGCCAGCCGCTCCTGCAAAGCCCCCAGTGAGGAGGCCTCGCCGTGCCTGCTGCCTCCGTTGGAGGTCGGGGCGCAGCCGGCAGGGTGGCCTGAAGCAGCCTCCTCTGCGGACCTGGTCAGCAGGGGGGGCCTGGCAGCCAGGAGCTTGGGAGCAGAGCCTGGGATGCGCTGATGGTCGCTCATGTACAGGAAGGAGGAATCGGAGTCGGAGCGAGTTAGGTCTCTGTGGGCGGGAGGAGAAGGAGAAGGTCACAACAGAGGCCCATGCCCGGAGGAGCCTCGCGCACAGGCACATGCATGCACAATGGCTCAGCCCGGCTAACACAGTGGAACTCTCCCATGTGTTATTCTGCAGGGAGAAACTTGCAACAAGCCTCCAGGAGCAAACCAGTTCTGCTGCTCTGCTCCTGCCAGGCCCCGTCCTGCTCTGCCGCTGTGCTTCCCCTGCAGGGGTTGCTGCTAACAGGCCCAACCGAGCGAGAACTTGCCCCGCCCATGCAAGCTACCTGGCACATGGGGCAGAGCAACCCCCCAGGCAGAGCTGCTGTTGGCAGCTAGTGGGAACCAGGGCAGGTTCCCTTGGCTTCGGCTGTCTGTGCTCGGGGTGCGCCCTTGTGCCTGGAATCAGGGCAAAGCCTCGGTCGGATGAGGCCTAAGGCCAGGGAGAATCTCTGCTGTCAGACAATAGAGCGCAGAGGCCATGGGGGCGGCACAGAGGAACCTGGGGCC